CTATAATTATTCCGATGTTAATTGTTTTATTTCTAGTATTTTGTGGCAACACAAAAACAATGTTCAAAAACAATGTTTTTGTGTCCACACAAGTTTTTGTGTCCACACCAGTGATAACTTCATGGTCTTGCCTTGATTCATTTGTATACGAGGACAAAATACAAATGTGTTATACTATTGTTGGGTGTTCTTTGCCTTCAGTAACCTTTCAATAATATTTATTTTAATTTCTAAAAAATATTAAACATAAAATAGGGACATTTGTGGAAAAATTAAATAAAATCGTAGTAGCCAAATTATTGAATTATTATAGAGCCAGTGGCAAAACTTTTTGAGCGCTTCAACTTAGGTGACAGGTATTTTACTCTTGATACCTGCCGGGTAAATGACCAGGCAAAGAAATACTTAAATGACTTGAGTACTGAAAAACCCAGATATTTCTGTCCTCCGTGGTCTGCCACGTCCTAATCTGTGAACCACCTGAAGGAGGGAGGGGACAGGTAGAGAGTCACGTGGTCACACAGGTAGAAGCACTACAAAAACGGGCAACGTTCAGCCATTACTCCGCGATGGTGACTGCGGGAGGCTTCACGTTAGATTTCATACGCGACGAAACTTGGATTTACGGAGCTCACCTTTGCGCTCAGGTGTCAAAGTAAAGGTGTTTATACCGCTCGGCCCCCGCGTGTGTCCTCTCCGGCGTCTCTTCAGTTACTGTCCTTTACTTTTGTGTAGTATTAGATTAGTTTTTATTGTTTGGACTGTGTTTGTGTTCAGATGACGGCGCAGGTAGACTACCTGGCGGTGGCTTTCACCGCCACATCTGGCGCGAGCGGAGAGCTGCTGGGATCGGACGAGAAGGAGCTCGTGCAGTTGGTTTGGCAGCTGGTGGATGTAAAAAACAAAAAGGTAAAAAAGTTATTACTACACTGCTTATTACAGCTAATTATTGTTTGTTTAAAGCAGGAAATGTAGTGGTAGGTAAAGGAGTGGGCAGGTAAACTGAACTCCCGTCGAAAACAAACTCAAATACAGACGACAGCCATATATAATGATGTTCAGAACTCTATTAATTCATAAATAAACTGTTAAGTCAGGTGATTTTTTGTAGGTTTCCTCTGTACACACCTCTGTTCTGAATACATATATACGTTTAGTATAATGATGTCTACATTGTGAGGTATTTAAACAGACGCCTGCTTCTCTTGTTGTACTTTATGATAATATATATGTAATAAAGGTCTACATTACAGCCATGTAACAGTGTAACATCAGCCTACAGCATGTGAGTTTCTATTTAGGCTGTTTCCAGACTGACGTGTTTTTTTTTTTTTCTTTCTTCTTCTCTGAACCAGTTGGGCAAGATGAATGAGCTCCTCATTAAGCCTGACCTCCCAGACTTGACAGACGAAAAAGAGGAGAAGGATGTGGTGGAGGAGAGCGTGGAAGAGAGCGTGGAAGAGGAGAATGGATCCAAAGCAGATTGTGTCTCCACAGCCACAAGTCTCGAGACAGCATTAAACCTGGTAATAACCTCTCTGTAGTTACTAGAAAAAGTTTTAGGCTTTTATTTTTCTTACTTTTTACTGCTTGAGGCTGGATCATGAATGTTTTTACTTCTTTCCTGAATGCTCAACAGTTTCATCTACAACTGACAAACGAGGTGAACAGCGCGGGCGCAGGCACGTCGGTGTGTTTGTGTACAGACGGGCAGCTTCACATCCGCCAAGTGATTCACCCTGAGGCCGCAAGCAAGGTGAGCGAGCTGGTCGGGTGAACGCCTCGCAGCCAGGGTGGATGTTCTCTCAGTACTGCAGCAACCTTCAGCACCTCACACAGACACAAAGGGATATGTTGTGTCAGCACTGTGCTCCATGGTTGCATTTAATGTTAGGGCGAAAATTGATCTACAGCAGAGACCCACTCATGCAAAACTGTCTTAATGACACGCCCATGCACATACCTTACTTATAAAAACGCCACCACACAATGAAGCTGATGAAATCCTCCCACAATGTCTTAATGTTACGCAGGTACTACTCCACTAGCTTGAGCAAACAGTTATATGATGGCAATAAAATGGCAGCTGTCAGTGGGCCACATGTTCACATCCTTTTATTTAATTCCTTCCCTCTCCAGAACATCCTGGTCCCGGACTGTTTCTATTCTTTCTTTGACCTTCGGAAAGAGTTCAAGAAGCACTACCCCACGTCTGACCTCAAGGCTTTGAATGTACACATCATGGCAGAGTGTATCCTTTTAATACCTGTTTACATTTGGTGAATGTCTGTGAACTACACTGGTGTATGTAAAGTGTCTGTTACTGGTGGTATTTTGGACCGTTTTGCTCATTTATCTGTATGTTTAGCTTTATCTCATACGCGGAATACACGTTAGAAGTTTGTAAGCCACGGGGTGTTGGCTGCAGGACTAGAGGTTTTGAAATGCAAATAGGGAAACAATGGCAGCACCTTACTAAGCGCTCAGTGAACAAGTGTGTGTTTAGCCAACACGGCAAACCCCACACACCCACTGGAACAGGAAAACTTACACCTCTCTCTCTGTGTGTGTGTGTGTGTTGCATTTACTTGCTGCTTTTTGTAGTTTCTCTATTTAGTTCACATTTTCTCTCATTTTTATCATTTTACATCAGTCACAAACCCAAACACACGCGTATAACGACACCTTTTTGCTGTGTCGGAACTGTTTCTTGTTGTTGTTTCCTTGACGGCCTCCTCCTCAGCTCTTAGCATACCTGTTGATGTGCCCTCCATGTGGGATCCTTCAGCCACACTGGATCCGTCCGCCGCATTGCCTGCAGAAACAGCAGTGCAGCAGGTTGAGATCATGGCCAGCATTGTCCTTGCCCTACTTTCTGAGCCATTTTGTGAGTACCATATGGGATTTTATGCAATGAGACAAAATATAAAACATTAGGAATTGTGTTTGACATATAGGCCTACTGTGTGTTTTACAGGAGTTCAGAAAAGTATGTAACTTTAAGCTAAGATGATAATTAAGGAAATTAGAATTAGAATCTGCAGCTATTTTGATAGTCGATTAATTATTTTCCTAATTTTTCAAGCAGAAAATGCCAGTTATTTGATGTTCCCAGCCTCTCCAATGTGAGGACTTTTTTGTTTTATATGATAATGAACCGAACATCTCTGCCTTAGAGTTTGTTGGTTGGACATTTGAATATGTCGCCTTCATCTCTGGAGAAATTGTGACAGACTATTTTCTGACATGTTATGGATCAAACAAATACTCAGTCAGTGGAGATAATATCAGGGAGAATCATCTACAAACGGAAATAGTTACTTGCAGCCCTTGTGTACATTTCTAAAACTCAGTTTATAAAGATAGTTTGCATTTTACCTCAAGACTTTAGACCATCACCATGTTGATTACAAAGTACTGTCATTTATTTCAGTTTCGAGGTCTAATTTGTGATTTTTCACAAATTCCCATTACAGGCCACACGTTTTCTAACCAGGAGAGAGTTAGTGAGAAGTTTGAGACCGGCACTTGGTGAGTAAAGTTTGCTCAAGATAAATATTTTTTTGTTCTGTGCCTGCCTCTGAAATCAACTCGAAGTCCACTCCTGTTGTGTTAATGCCTTTGTTTGTGTGTGTGTGTGTGTGTGTGTGTGTGTGTAGTAGTAAGATGGAGAAAGTGTGCGACAACACAGTGATCAGAGCCAGAGGGTTGCCATGGCAGTCGTCTGATCAGGACATTGCTCGGTTCTTCAGAGGACTCAACATTGCCAAGTATGTTGTTGCTGTTTTAACCAACAAGTCAACATCATATATATACAGAAACCTGCTGTTGACACAAGGTCTACATCCTCTATAATGATCTGTATGTTGTGTTTTATAGAGGAGGGGCTGCATTGTGCCTTAATGCTCAGGGGAGGAGGAACGGAGAAGCGCTTGTTCGTTTTGTCACTGAAGAACACCGAGACCTGGCACTGCAGAGACACAAACACCATATGGGCAACAGATACATAGAGGTAACCTGTCTGAACCCTGCTAGCTGGCACTAATTAACCTCCTCAGACCTAAAGTATTTCCAGTTGAGTGTACCAATAAATATCAGATAAGACTTTATTGATCCCCTGGGGGAAAATCCACATGTTACAGCAGCACAAGAGGCACGCTAGGAGGTAAGGAAAACAGATACATTTGAAATAAAGTAAATTAGAGGCATTAGATTACCATATACAAAATAATTGTGCAAAAGAAATCTATCAGTGAATCTCTAGCAGCAATTAACGGACTCCTTTGATTATAATGGACACTGGGTCTGAAGGGGTTTTAAGTGAATCAGCCACACTACTTTATCTAATCGTCTATGTAGTTCCCTCCATTCATTTCTGCTTGTTACCTTCTAATGGCAGGTTTACAAAGCAACAGGAGAGGACTTCCTGAAGATAGCTGGAGGTAAGAATCTATGTGTACTGTACAGAATTTGATCTTACCAGCAGTAACTTTTAGTAAAATTGAATGGATAGCAAATTAAGTCCTGAAGCTCTTTGTTGGGGATGTTTAGGTTTGAATGTGAATTTGAATCAACCCACAACAAGACCAACCAAATGCCCTGCTGTTGGGTTTTGTGCATGAGTTTGTATTCTCTCTATTTCATTTCTGTGGACTTTTTATGTCCATTAAATGTTTTTCAGTCCATTCGTCGTCTCATCTCTTGATACCATTTGTTTATTAATGGCAGAAAACTCAGTAAATGGTGCTGATGTTTATAATCATAAAAATGGAATGCCAGAACATCACTCAAAATCATGAAGGGATAAAAGTCAAGTTTATTCTTATCAATGATAGAATAAGAGAGCCTTGGAAATCACTCCAAACCATCACAGAGAGCTGCTCCCAGAAGGAAAACGTAATGCTGTTCAAAACAACGGCGTGTTTATCTACTTGTGGTTAAGTAAATGTGTCTTTGTCCTTGTGTGTGTGCCAGGTACCTCCAATGAGGTAGCAATATTCCTGTCCCGTGAGGATCAGATCATAGTGAGGATGCGAGGTCTTCCTTTCACCGCCACACACGAGCAGGTGCTCACCTTCTTCTCCCCGGGGGAGGGCCTCAAAGAGACGTGTCCGGTCAGCGGCGGGAAGGATGGCATCCTATTTGTCCGCTATCCAGATGGCCGTCCCACTGGCGATGCCTTTGTTTTATTTGCCTGTGAGGAACACGCCCAGTGTGCTCTGAGGAAACACAAGGAAATCCTGGGGAGAAGATATATTGAGCTGTTCAAAAGCACAGCAGCAGAGGTCCAACAGGTATGTCAGGGTGTCTGTCTGGATGTAGGTGTGCTTTAATGTACAGTGTGTTGTTATCCTCTTTGTTTTCTGAAGGCAAAAAGAGGGTTTTTAGGAATCGTGTGTGTGTGTGTGTGTGTGTGCTCACAGCAGAGCATGACAATGTGCGGGTGTGTTTTCTTTTCTCCTCAGTTAGTTGTAGGAGTTATTGGAGTAGGGCTTATGGGTTGGGACCTGCATAGCAAGATGGACTGTGTGTGTGTGTTTCCTATAAGTATGGTGGTACACACAAATACTCTGACAAAGATTGCTAGTCTTTATCTCTTGTTTTGGTCTTCCTCAGTCCTTCCCCCTCTCGTGTAAGATGAACACATGGACTCATTTTCTTATCTTTTGCGGGCTGATAAGTTTACAGCCCGCAAACACACAGGCTTTTCCTCACACTTTTATGTATGATAGAGGACGGAGTTTTATTGGTCCTCTCCAGAAATGCAAACAAGCCAGCCTCTGGCTAACATTGCAGCACACATTTAAACACACCGTGAACTTGTCTTTGTTGTACACAAGAAGTTGGCCATGTCTCAGTGTATATACACTCTTTTGATCTTTTTATCTATTATGGAGTGTATCATTTTTTCCTGAAAATTATCTGGAAAAGGGAGGAAGGGCTAAATCAGGTCTGTCTTTTCTGCAAGCAGAGTAACTGAGTGTGAATGTGTGTGTGTGTGTGTGTGTGTTTTAGGTGTTGAACCGGTACTCATCGGCCCCTCTGATCCCCGTGGCCCCTGCTCCCTTGGTGTCAATGCTGCCCACAGTGTCTCTCCTGCCCCCTCCTGGTAGCATGAGGGACTGCCTGAGGCTGAGGGGGCTGCCATACACAGCGAACATAGAAGACATCCTCACCTTCCTGGGCGAGTTTACACACGATATCAGACCACATGGCGTGCACATGGTCCTCAACCAGCAGGTACATGTAACAACCACACTGACACACCCATGGACTCACTTGCTTTCTGACACAGTGCTGCAGAGTAATTCATGACTTTCTCTGTTTCCAGGGTCGTCCATCAGGTGACTGCTTCATCCAGATGACCTCAGCAGAGCGGGCGCTTCAGGCCTCACAGCGGCTCCACAAGCATGTGATGCCCAGCCAGCGTGGGCCCAACAACCGCTACGTGGAGGTGTTTCCCTGCAGCGCTGAGGAGATGGGCCTGGTGCTGATGGGAGGCTCACTCTCACACACACATACACACACACACAACCGGACCAGGAGTGGGACAGGGCTCAGCCCGCCGCCATGTAAGTCCAGACGTAAGTGCTGCTGGGAGCTGGGGGTGCTTCGGGACTGCAGGGTAGGTGGGCTCCTGCCGTGGGGGCAGGGTTGCTGGGTTTTCTCCAATCTAGTACTGTGGTAGGTAGGGGACATCTGGTCTAACCAGGAGGATTCAAAACTGTGTGTGTGAGAGTGCGTGTTGCCCTGTGTGTTTGTGTGCGTGTGTGTGTTTGTGTTTGTGGTACCTCTTTGTAATTTAGTGTGATTAAAGTACCAATCTGCATGCACTGAGAAACTTCACATGTTAACTGTTTATTCTACCTTTTTTACCTGTATTCCCACAGTCTGATTGTAGTTCATCTTCTTCAACGGCATGTTTGTCACTCATTCTTAATTTTACTCCCTTACCACTGCTTAAGTAATTCATGAAGATCTGAAAGGGTTGGAAAAGTGTAAGTAAGTCAGCTAGTCTATAATATGGCAAAATGGCTTACAACTCTCCAGTCTTCTCAGAATGGTAGTGGTGGTTGTGGGATTTAGCCTCAATAGACCTTTTGTCCAATCAGTGGAGCTGTGGGAAAGGTGGGCAGAGCTGAACGCTTGTGCGTAGAAATGTGCTTTGTTCTCCGTGTCTGATAATGTGGACTGGTGCACTCCTAGTTTTATAAAAAGAAAAAAAGGTACAATATAAAAAGTGGTGTAATGTGGTGTTTATGAATTGTTTTTTATGAAGTGCAAATGTTCACATGACTGAAAATGTTAGAGGCTAGATGCGTGGGTAGTAGTGAGGTCATGTTAAAACAAGATTAAATCTTTATGCTTCTTCAGCAGAAATACACGTTAGATAGACAGCAGGTCCCAGTTCCACATAACCACATACTGAGCCTGAGGCTGGAAGCATATTTTGAAGGAAAGTGTTAAGGCGCCAACTATGGATAGGCCCAAAATGGCATATATATAACTTGTTGTCCTGCAGATTGTATCTACATCTTAACAATGTCTCTGTTGCTCTTGCATTTATCAATTAGACGTTACCTTCCTTATGGGCAAGCATAACTACAGTAAAGTACAAACTGTGTTGATTTTTTTTTTTTTACCTTAAAGTCAATCAAAAGCTTACATGTTGGAAGTTCGGGTCTACACAAATAGTCAAAGTGAGCCGCTTTCACTGTCACATACTGTACATACTGTACATGTGTCAGGTGCTGAGTTATTATGGTCAATGCACGTTTGCATGAGCGTCTCTCTCAGAAACAGTGACTTCACCAACATGTCTATTTCTTTTACAGTTTGTCTTTTTTTAAGCATTTCGTCTCTCTCACTGTTCTCTCCTCTCTAGGTTTATCTCCACCCTCCTACTCCTTCACCCCTGCTCCACCTGTGCTGCCCACAGAAGCTGCTGCCCTCTACCCTCCCATGGGTCAGGTGTTGCTGGCCCCGCGCCCGCTGCCACCAGGACATGCCTACTACCCTGCTTCAGCTCAGCTATACATGAACTACGCAGCATACTACCCCAGGTAAACAGGGAGTCAATGAAAAAGACGAAATGATGAAAAATCATGTAAATGTTTTTGGAAAATTACAGGATTTGATTCCATCAGAACAGCCTAAAGCGTTACTCAGTGTAATCAGTATCAGTTTATTTTACTATTTAATACTTTCAGTCCTGGATGCTAAAATAATGCTGGGATTTATATTCATAATTATTTTATTTGTGTCATGTTGTAAGAGCTTGCATTTGTTCAGCCTTCACAAAAGTATCTCAGAAATGTTTGCAAATTCCCTGTACATGGTACATAAAATGAATCACACCAACACTATTATACATAGTCTTAAGAGCTAACGGACTTCCTTGTCCTGAACTGACATTGTTTACTTGCGGGCTGTTTGCTGCTGAGTAAGCGAATAAGAAACTGTATTATTGTTTACATATTTGATTTTCTTAGCCTTCTGTTTGCATACATTTCAAGATAATCTTTACATTCACTGGAACTATTTGCATGTTATGTATAAACAACTTTTTTGTTATTGCATTGCACTTAAATGTTTCTAAATTGTTACTGTGAAATAACACAAAGTATTTGGGTTACTCTTGCATAGTGTTGAGTGGTCTATCTGTGTTTGCATCGTTTTAGAAGTGGAGAGTAACAGCTCGTCTTTGGTTAAAATGTGTCTTGTCAAGGTTAAAGGCTGGGGACAAGGGTAGTTAATAACTGAACACTGTGGTATCAGAGAACTTGGTAAACATCAGTGACCTCTGTTTGTCCCTGATCAGAAAACATTTCTAGACGACGCCCGAAGTTACTCCCAGTCTTGTGATTCATATGTGCTTTGTTTGCTGAGAAACATGCAGCTTCCAAGTCATAGAGTTTGTTTGTTTTTTTTAGATATTTTCATGATAACAGTCTGTCTGTGCCTTCTCTCTTTTCTTTCTCCAGTCCACCTGGCTCACCTACCACTTTAGGTTACTTTCCCTCCCCCTCCTCCCTCTCCTCCCCAGGGGGGTTGGTGCGCATGCCAGGTCTGACCTACAACAGCAACGGAGTCAAAGAACTCATTAATGCGATGCAGGGATACCAGGTAAGAGACGTTTCTTTACAAATGAACCATAAACGCAGTACATTTCCCATACAAGATAATCTTCTGCGCCTTCAGAGTTCACACATACCTTTCTGAAGGATCCTAGTGTTGTATTCAAACCTCCTTCTGTTGTGGGTGTGTATTGTCAGGCATCCACTGTGTTTGCCCAGAGGCTATCAAACTAGTTTATCCTGTCTACTATCCCTGTTCTGTCACACATGCACTGCTGCTTGCTTAGACTTGAATTGGAGGAACCCAGGTCTTATTGAAAAAGAGTAAAGAGTCCCAGGGATATGATAAATGATAGTTTATACTAAATTAAGGGACAGATTTGGACTAAAAATCTACAGTATTCTCCTCCCATAAACAAACCACCATGCTGGAGTTTACAGGTCCATGTGGCCTTTAGGTTAGTGTCTGTGGTTGCTTGTCTCTCAGCCCCCTGTGTCTGTCATTCCTCCCCCTTCCTCACACCACAGTATGCCCCCGAGGATGCTCTCATGCACGCCCACGGGCATGTGCATGCTCACGACCCGGCTGGGACATTGCTTACACAGCCCAAAGAATGGGTGTGTATTTCAGGTGTCTGAGGCAGGTGGCAGGTAAGGATTGGCTGCTCTGAGGGGGATTCAGTTTGGATAGGGGTTGTAGCTGTGGCTTGGGTCTCGACTGGTCACACGACAGCGAGGTTTCCTACTTAGGCAGGGAATTTTCAACTAACCACACGCAGCAGCAACAATGGACACTTTTTTTTGATTGGGTTGAGTGGTTAGAGGAAACTTCTTGGATTTTAGTTTTTATCTTGAATCATTTTGACAGGGTGCTTTTTTTTCTGACTGACATGTGAAACTGTTTGATAGCAGTTTGCTTCACCTAATACTGGCTACTACATTTCTGTCCTCTCAAGAAGTTATTTATGGGCTACAGCAATAGCCAAGAGGGCTAATTGACCGTCCGTTAAACCCAGCCTCCTAACCGTGATTGCTTAGCAACCGTAACTAGGCACAGCTGAGCTGTCGAGCTTTGCATTTCTCCGAATGCCAAAACAGTGCGAATGGATCTCTGTAGGAGCTGTACTCAGAGCTTTCTAAAGCTAAAAATCCAACAGTAAAAGTGTAAGGAATGGATTAAACATTAGCATGCTAACTATAGCCTTTCAACCTACAGCAGTGACCCAGCGTTACTTCTTGTTATTAACTATCTAACTGTGTTATTGTGTGGGGTTAAAGGTTACGTTAGAAAGTAAAATATCTGCTCACAACTGGACACTGCGTGGGAGCCAAAGTGCTAGTAGAGCAGAGTTTGTAGCTGTCCTGCTCTTTATTTGGGTTGGGAAGTTTCTCGCACCTCCAAACAAACATGCGTTAGTGTCACGTTTGCTAAATTCAACATCATCCTAAAATCCCTTTCTCTTGTTTCAACCAATTTACTGAGTTTAGCATTAGTATTAATATCCTAATGTAAACATTAACTATGTGAAGCAACAGTGAGGATAGAAACTAATTAAATGGGAATTCACTTCGCAACTCGATTGTTTAAAAGATTACGAATCATTTTAGGTGTTAAATCCGCCACAGTTACATTGTAAACTGCATTATGTGCTGTGAATGGAAAGCTTGACAGGCAGTTAGTGAGGGGTGCGGGGCTTTGCGAACGGTCAATTGGTGGTGTTGTAGTGTAATAATTGATTGGTAATAACAGGTATAGCCTTCAGGTGGTTGAGAAGGTGATGGGTAACATCTGGTGCTGGTGTAAAGGGCTCTGTGTTTGATGCTTTTACACTGGGATAATACTCTGCTGTCTCTCTTCCCTGTCCTTACCCCCAAACTCTTCTTCCTCTTCCTCTTCCTCTTCCTCTCCCTCTCCCTCTCCAGAGTCCCGCGGAGTCCATTTCTCTCCTGAGCAGCAGTCTGATTGGTCAGTCCAGCAGAGGCGATGCTCCTCTCATGTCCCTCCCCGCTCTCATGACCAAGCCGGGGGGGCAGTACCTGGACCTGACCCTGCTGTAGGGTCACAAAATATGCAAAGGTCATGTGACAACTTGGTGTCAAAGACTTGTAATGTATTTTTTAGGTTTTTAAAATAGTCTTTTAGATGTGTTATTTATATCCATAAGAACAGAAATTAATGTATTTTATACCAAAATCATTGTGGCCCTAGCCAAAAATAGCAGTTTTGTCTTATATTGCACAGTGTGTATTTTAAAAGCTTTATAGAGATTTTTTAACATGTTATGATATTATAATCACTAGAAACCGAGATAAATCTTTTCCTTAAGCTTCTCTGTGAAGAGTGAAAGTGTGTGTGAGTGCGTTGTAGTGTGAAAGACATGAAAATGAGTATTATGCATGTCTGTGTTGATACGTCGTGATACTTAATCTGTTCATGCAATATGTTTTATGTGTTTATATACATTTGATACAGTACATAGTGATTGTATTGGAAGCTTTAGTGCATGAAGAAGTTAGTAGTAAAACTTTAAGATGTTTACATAATGCCAAATATCAATGCACTGCTAATCAATAAGACTACTAATGAATATAATAGCAGTATCTTTAAATGATAGCATATATGTTACACTGTGAGTTTGTCAAATAGTCTGGTCCTTGCATCAGGCCTTACTTACAAAAATGTGACATCTCACGCTAAAGCCCCTGTTTCCATGCTGTGTAATGCCAGTGGTGTCTTGCCTTTTGTTTTGGACTCACATCTGAACAGAGGACAGTCCTAGTTCTCTGTAACCTAACCACAGGGTTACATTCTTCAAGAGGACTCAAGTCACATGTTCTCAGCTTACTGAGTGAATCTCAGGAGCCAGAGGTGGTTTCTGACCGATTTTAATACATATTCAACTCCGCTAAGACAGCAAAGATTTATCAGTCCATCACACTTTCGTTGTCTTCTCACCACCATCTATGTTGGGGGAATGCAGTGGAGCTAACAGGTCTCCTGACCCTTCCAACATGTTTCTTGTGAATTTAATTGTCGTTTGTGCCCCACAAAGTTGCTCTTTGGGCTCCATTTTGCTGTACGCACATCTACAGTAGGACTTCCCTCTCAGGACGTCCCGCTGTGGTAATGCTGGAAAAAAATAAAATAAACATAACCTGTGAAGTCTGCCGGCCGTCAGCTGTTTGATTTCACTATTTGTCTTCTGAGAGAATAATCTTACTTTGCTGTGTACCTATTGTGCTCTTCTGTACTTTGGGAGGGTGTGTGAAGTGCAGGAGCACAAACACACCGGTGGAGTTGTTTGATGACAGAATGTGGCTGAAGGCGAAACTGTGGGAACTCCCTCACACTGTCCTCAGTGATTACCTCTGCATTTCCCACATACACACACATGCTGTGGAATGGAAAAGAAACTATTGTCACTCAGACACACTAAACACATTATCTGAGAGGATGACCCTTTTTTTAACAGGGTGAAAAAGTGAAGAATAGAGAGTCCAGGAAGGGGGAAGAGAGAAGGAAGGCACAAAAAAACCATGTCAGACCCCCTCAGGGCAGATTTGGCATTGTGTAATACAATCTTGTGCACCCCACCCAACTTGATCCCTTTTAAACACACGCACTCATTCTCCTACTCACAAAACACGGTCTTAACCAGCGTAGCAACACCATTAGTATCCATGCAACAAAGGCCAAAATAGTTTGTTTTTTTTCTATTTAACTTTTATGACATTAATTGGCAGACTTTAGAAATATATGTTAACTATTGTGGGAAAATGCAGCGTGATGACACATTTTATTTAATACTTTTTCAGAAAGTGTTTCTTTGTACATGAAGTGCGAAGTTAAAATGTTTTAGTTTGAAATTATAATTTGTACAGAAGAATTTGAGTGAAGTAGATTACAGATTTAAAGAAAAGGAGTAAAAGAAAAGTGAGTGGGGTCAAAAAAAGGGGAGGATTGCGTATTTTTTGCCAGAGGGCAATTATATTTTATTGTTTTCATGCACGATTTTGTTAAAAAAAAGTGCATTAAAACACAAAATTTGCTTTTTAAGGGGTGTCATGGATGATACAGTTGCTTTTGCCACATGCAGAGGACAACAGTCAAGTGTTTATATTGGGGCTTTGTTTTCTAGTGACTAATTTTTCCGTTTTAGGAAATGAGAAACGTGGATCTTTAAATTTACTAAGGACTGAACATTATCTCTAAAGAGTGTGCCACTTGTTTCCTCTCGCCAACAGCCAGTATTACAATATAACAATATTACAATGCTGAAGCCCCTCAGCAACCACAGAGCAATCACCTTTTCTCCTGTTCACTTTTTCAGCAACAGTGTTAATAAATGTTCATTTAGTAGCTCTTGGCTTAAAAGTAGAGTGCAGCTAAACAAGATGCACCATTTGCAACCATAATTTTTGGCAATTGCTAACTGCATTCTTAATGTGCAATGAGGGCGGTGTAGAAAATATTGTTCCATTAACATTTGAGGGTGAGGGGGGCAAAGTTCAAAGCAAATAAAGTAGTAATAATGTTGGGTAGAGTCTTGCTTTTAAAAAAACATAAGGTTTATCCCCCCTCCCAACCCCAATAATTTTCATACAGTCCCTTATTTTACAAACGTTTAAAGCAGGATGTGATAGGTTGTGCCTCACCCACATAATTATTTCTGTTTAGCTCCACATTATTTCTTTCAGATACAAACATTTGCAGCATTCCTCAACTCATACCAGAGCCTCTCCGTTGTACCGTACCATGAAGATTAATTTTGTAACACTAAGTGGTTCACTGGAGGACAGGACAGCAATTACAGGCTGACTCATTGCACTGTACCTGATAGGTGTGCAGAGGCAGATAAATCAGTAATATCCTTTATAACAACATTCCCTCACAGGGTGGGTGAGGCCTACATACACACTTACCACACAGGCACGTAGGGCGAGGCTGTCGACATTCCCATGTCAGTGCAGAGACCAAAGATGCTGCTACGGAAGCATCAAAGTGACGGTGTGGCCTTTATTAAGATCCAACCAAAGGGCAAGAACACAATCAATACATAAAGCACAGCAGCATATCATATGCCGCCTCAGATGATCAGTGATTGTGACAAAACAAGGGCAGAAATAAACTTGTTGAGCAGCAGGATTATGCTTAAACAATAGCTAATTTTCAAGAATATGACTTTTGAGTTCAGTTTTGCATTTGATCCATGGTGAAAACTCAAACTGCGTGTGAAAAATAGCAAAGTGATCCATGAGCTGTTCCTCATGACAACACGGGATCAGTGTGTTCAGCTGCCTCAGGAGCTGTGACTGCAGATCTGTCTCCTTCTAGTGGGTAGATTGAGACTGCACAATCCAGTCCCAGCATCTCCTACACAGAGTCAGACTTCACTTTCAATTCACTCTGTTCAGGACGTTTCTTAACTCTCAAATGCTGCAAATAGCTTCTCATGTCAAAATGGATATCTGACATACAAATACAGTAAGGAAGTAAACATTTACAATGCTCGCCAATGTGCATTTACATTTTGAACAAACTGACTTGAAAGTGAACTGACTTTCACTTCTGCTTGTGATTTTTTAAGTGTACAATACTTCAACAGTCGCTGTCTGAAACACAGTTTAGGCATCAACATGGACACAGTATTGATTAAATCACATATAACATAATCCCAAAGCAAATCAGATAAATATTTCATTATGTAACATATTTATCATGCAGGCAGCACCAGTTACATCTGTAGCTTGTCTGTAATTTGTGTGAGTCAGTCAGTTAGCCAGTGAGTCCATTTTGTTCTATCTCACTTATAGTTTTTACAGTTTCAGTTGGATGAATATAAAGAATCGTCCTTCTAAAAGAACAATTAAGCAAATATAACAATTCCCTTTATGCAAATATATATTTATAGCTGCTGAACGTATTATGCAAATATACAAATGTTGATTGCAGCCAACGACTTTGGGTCTTCCGCTTCCACTTTAACGCAAGATCTGCTGTGCCTGTCGATGATGTTACAGAGGTCAAGGGTCATGGTCTCAGAGCTCCGTCATCAGGAGGGCTCTCAGTATCTTCTCTCTGTCCAACCTTATTTCCTCTCCGCTACAAACACAGAAAGATACAAACCTCATGTCATAAGAAGTTTTAAAGATACATGTTTGTTTACATTTTTTATCTTCCTATTAAAATCTAAAGGTGAAGTTGTAGTTTGCAACTATCTGAATACAGCCCGGCCTTCCAAGCATGTAGGAGAAACTATGTTGGCTGAAAAAAACACAACAGGGCCTGTCTAGAGCCAGTGTTTGTTTTGTTCGTTCAGGGTTACTGTAGAAACATGTCGGTTCAATGTGGCGGACTCATTCTAAAGTAATAAAAACACAATGATTCTTATATTCAGGTGATTATACACTAATGAAACATACCTATGAATATTATATTCCACCTTTAAGAGACAAACAAATTC